GATGTTCTTTCTAAATCCGCTGCAGATATTGTTATGTTACAATGTAAAGAAGTACTGAAGAATTCTAATTGCGACTTTGAAATGCCTTATGCCTGTTCTTTTGTTATATTACGTTGAGTCGTCCGCAGGAGATTTCAGAGACATTTATAAGTTAAGGAACTATCTGAATTCTATTTACACATACTGGCAATATTACATTTTGCGTTCTGTAGAATATAAACTGGATATGTTCTACGTATATCGATGGCTTGTCACACCGAGATGTCGCCCAAAAACCTGTATAGTATATTTCATATGAACATCATGGTGAAGTAGAATAAAACGTCGGATAGCTACATTCAATTTATATTTCACCTTTTTGTCGAATAGAAGTTCCGATTAAATTTCTACAGAATGTTAAAATTGATGTCGATATCACTTCGATAGTTCATTACAAGCGATCATATTCTCGAACACGCTCTGCGATATCCTCCCGATGTAATGAAGAGAGAGACGCTGTTTTTTTTACTACCCTCTCTAACCTCTAATCTCGCATCACATTAGTCCCATGGCTTCTGGTCCTTCTGGCTCTTCCCGTTCTTGAATAACGTTTTGATACATTTTCTGTAGTTCCTATTTTGCTATTTGGGTATTGCGTGCAGGACGTGGGTTTCAGAATCAGTTTGTTTGTGAGTTTGTTGGTTTTCAGTTTTTGGGGTTCGGGTAGGGTTGCCACCTGTCCGGTTTGCATCTAAACATTCCGGTATAGGATTCGGCACCTAGGCATATTTCATTGGTCCGTTTGAATTCGGACCGCCAATTGATGCGGAGTGCCGAAATCGGTACTTGAATGTTGAACGGTGCTGAGCCTCAGGTCCGAATGTTACCATGCGTTTGGCGCGGTTTTTATATTAAATCAGCTGTCCACCTCCTTCTTGTTCCTCTTAGCTACAATTTTGCGACGGATGCGGTTTATTTCGCCGTTGCTTCATGTGTTCTTGTGCTTAAACATGTAAGATGAGTTTGCCTAGATCATTTAAACACTTTGAATGTGGTGAGCAAATTTACCGAGCCAACATTTTGGAGGAAAACGATATAAAGTACTGGATAGAAGAGTATAGTGATATAACATACACGAATTGGAATGTGAAGTCAGCGAAAAATAATTATAACAGATTCAAATGCAGGTTTGTGTTCAATGTCAATTCAATGACGTAGAATCTTCTTGGATGCGAATAGACTTTGGAAAATACATTTTTTAGATATGTCATAGTGCTTATAAAAAAGTGGATCAAGGAAATAATAAGAAAGGAAAATCCAAAAACTGCTGTTGCCTGGCTTCAATTGATATTTTAATTAAACTAAACACCACAGATACCAAAAAAAAAAGATAAATATATTAGGGTATTTATTTTCAAAATTTTCTATTCTAATTTGCCAGGTTTCAGGTTTTTATAATCCCCCCCCTGGGTCCGCCACTGCAAATTATTATCCAAGATTTTTTGAAATGTATCGTTGAAATAAAATAGATGTGTAACAAAAAGTAAATAAAGTTTGTTTGTTGATTTTGTGCCGCGCTAACGGAGTAACATTCCAACCTGCAGCTGGGCACTGTTTAACATTTTGACCATTGATTCGGCACTCAACATAGTATATGTATATACCATTCCGACCTGAGGCTCAGCACCGTTCAACATTCAAGTACGGATTTCGGCACTCCGCATTAAGTGGCGGTCCGAATTCAAACGGACCAATGAAATATGCCTAGGTGCCGAATCCTATACCGGAATGTTTAGATGCGTCCGGTTTTCACCCGGACTGTCCGGGTTTTCGAAGGTTTGTCCGGTGTCCGGACGCATGATGAAAATGTCCGGGAATATCTGGATAACTATATAATTAATAATAATTAACACTTAATATAAAATTTATAAAGGCGATTGCCGAACGCCTTAGGATATACCTAACTAATTTCTGAACGTTCCTACTTCTTGAATAACGGGTGTATCACAAACGTCTCCGGTTTCCAGTTAGCGACAGAAAAATGGACTTTTCTGCCTAGGCAGAAATGTTCGTTGCTTCCCATTCAACAAACGTTATCAGCACAATTGATAAACATAAAAAAGTAGATTATGCGTGAAAGTGTAACAAATTCGGAGAAAAAATGAAATGTACTACCTATATGTTTCACACGGCAAAAGATCAGATTTAATGCCTTGGTTGGTTTCCTCGCTTCGCTTTCGGCTATGAAAAACTAGTCGCGGCATTAAATATCGTGCTTTTCTGCCTAATAAAATAAATAATTATGTATGTATTGTGTCGTTCTCCCTGTTCACTTACAAGTGTCTCTGGTTTTTTTTTTAAATTTTAAAATAGACCGTAACTACGAGGGGTGGCGTTTGAAATTGAGTAGATACCTTTTTTAATTTTTTTCTAAAAATTCATTTTACAGATATGAGTGTTAATTATGCTACAAAAAAAAGTTAGCTTCGATTATGTACGGGTTTTCGGAAATGAAAAGGTGGCAACCCTAGGTTCGGGTTTTCTTTACCTGGCAGCTGACGGCAGTTGATGTTGATGATTGATTAGTGTTGTGAAAAGATAAGTGCAGTAAATCACCCTTTATATTCTATCAGCTTTTATGATCATTTTGTGTATCAAGTAATAAAAATTGGTTTGTCATTTAATGTAGTTCTAAAAAAACTGACATGTATATAGATACTTGAAATTTTTATTTATTTATTTATAGGTATATACTTGGACTTTCTATTTCAATCAGTTTTTGGATTGGAACTAGGTTAAGGTCAATAATTATCCAACAGTGACAATTTGTATTTTATTCGCAATAAAGGCAATAAAATGATTTACTGTAGATGTTCTTTCAAGACTTCGATGGGACATTTGCTTTTCATATAACATTAGATTTCCTTGAGACGAACTGTGGATGTTCTTTCGAGACTTCTATGGCACGTTTGCTTTTCATATAACATAAGATATCCTTGAGGCGGACATTTGGCAGTTCCTGCGCGATCTTTGAGATAGATGTTCATGGAATTTAGTGTGTGTAAGTCGCATACCTCAAGGTATATCTTTGATACCTCGATGGAATGGTTCGATGTTTGCTGGGAAAGTGCGAATTTCGCTGATGAGTAAAGGCTTCAATCCAATCAATCTGTCAAAAAGGAAAATTCAATATGGCGTGGCAGCCAGGCAAGTTTGTTTTGATTATGTTTTTATGCGTATTTTAGATTATTTTGCTTAGAGTTTTGATTGCAACTTTGATTTTGATTATTTAATAAAATACTTGTACCTAATTTTGTGCCACTTCAAAAAAATCTATGTAGCATCGTGCACGTGTTAAGAAGTGAAACTTTTTAAAAACTATACCCTCCCTCATCCAGCTTTTAGACTTAGCGTATGAGTCGGGGTGAAGACGAAGGACCACACAAAAGGGAAACGCGTATCTATAGTGACGTCACAAGGGTATCGGCGCTTGACAATAATGAGCAATTCTCTTTGCTTATAATCCTTGGTTTGTGTCAATCGTTCCTCGTCTGTCATTGTCAGTGGCCCGCTTTCTCCGTCTCTCTACAGTCTACGTTATATGTTCCTTCTCTCTCGTCTCTCGTGTTCTCTCGAAATTTGCCAAAACGTGACGTTACGTGATGCGTCTTTCAAATCACTCTCCATAATCTTGTCTGAATATCAGACCGCCGCCTAAAGCTTAATTCTCACTTGCGCGAAATTCGCTCTTTTTTTGACATTGCTTCGACAATTTGACGTTTAATGCGTGTATCGAACGTCAAATTTTCGAAGCAATGTCAAAAAAGAACGAATTTCGCGCAAGTGAGAATGGCATAAGAGTTTCACTTCAAAAACTGATTAAAAGTTTGACATGTACCTATACCTATATATTCCAGACCTCAACAAATAATATAATATAATCAAATAAAATAAACATACCGTATAAAAAACGTGTATAAGAAAAATGTTCGAGAAAACTATTTCTTCAACTTAAGAGCACAGGATTCAGAGCTTTGCTGAAATCTGAATAGCGAGCGAAGAATGCGCAGAACGCAGCAGGCAACATATTATAAGAAGTTTGGATTATCTAATATAATATATTGTCCATGTCTCTCAAATACCACGGCGCTTCCAATAAAAAGCTATAGATATAAATAGGTCGGTCGTCGGTCTTGACTCTTGAATAGTGAATAGTGCTAGTGGTGCTAGTGCCACTACTGCCACGAGTGCCACGTGCCACTGCCACAGGCTAGTGGCGCTAGTGCAGTGCAATGTGCAACGCAAGAGATCGCCGCGACCATTGGGATTTCGTCATCCTGTTGTACGGGATATTGCAATTCATTACGACACGTGACACGATCCTAATGCTAGAGAGTTCTCGTGCTGTCCAAATTTCAAATACCGTAACGTTATTTGACAAGTATGACAGTTCTTACCATAGGCGCCGCCAGGATTAGTTTCAGGGAGGTGCATACGATCAGTGGCGGCGCGTGAATTGTTATATTGGTTCAAATTACTAATTTAAAAAGGTGAATGCCCGACGCAGGAGCTGCCGAAGGCGCGAAAATTTTTCCGGGTACCACGCCCAAAAACGGGGAGGGTTTCAAAAATAGTATATTAAAGTATAAGTGGATATTAAGGTCTTTAAAACACGCGCGATTTTTCGAGCACGACGGCGCAGCTGAGTGCTCGAAATAGAGCAAGTGTTTTAAAGACCAGTTATCCACGAATACTTTACACTATTTTTTTTTATTGGTATACGTTCAAATAATAAATTACTAATAATTGTAGAAAGCTAAATTCGTGCTTGACACTTGTTACATTTTATTTGACGTTATCTACAAGTACCTGCTCCTGACAAATCAATAATTAAAAAGTTGACATTTAGACCTTTCTCGGGTTGTTGGTTGTTGATGTTGTCATTGGTAACTTTAAAACACGCGCGTTTTTGAATGTTGGATTTAAACACGCTGAGGAGTACTTTAAATAAGTGAAATAGGTTATCAATAAAAAAAAATATTTTTTTTTATTCTCAACAGACAAATCATAATTATAGGAATTTATTTAATACAAAAACTTCGAATTCCAAAAATGTAGCTACTTTTACAAAACAATATTTATTAATAATTCAATAAGCCCGAAATTATGACGCTTGAGTAGTTTAGCTTCACTAACGGCTCTTGGCCCTTCAGGTTGAGCACGAACCTACTTAATTTTACTGGGTAAGGTTTGCAACACAAGGAAAAAATAATAAATAGGTACAAAAAGAAAAACCTTAGGACTATTGACAGTAAAATTGCCGAGTCAGTCGATTGAGGATTGATTTCTTCGTTTATTGGGATAAAAACTAAAATTTCTAATTGCCTATTTATAACTGGAACAAAAAAATATATTATTAGTTTTAGGTTTGAATTAATTAATTGATTACTCACTACTGACCGCCGCCACCTCCTGCACTAGAGCTTGCTTGAGCTTGCGATTGTGCTTGTGAAAAAGATAGACTCAACGGACCCAATCCAATTTGAGCTGTTTGAGAATGAGCTTGTGAACTGGCTTGAGCTTGAGCTCCAGCATTTCCATTTCCGTATCCACTCCCACTGACCGCTTGGGCTAAAGACCAAATGATTGGTATATTAACATCTGTTTCAAAATAGGTACTTTGTAAAGGAACAGATTTAAAATGGTATAACAGAAGCTGCTTGGGAAAAATATCGATGTTTCCGAAGCTTGCAGATAATCTCCTATATTAATCTTTTAGAAAGCTTTATTATCTTTAATTGTAAAATTAAATTGACAAAGCGAAAACCGTTAGGTGTTTATAAAAGAGAAATAATGTTCACAGTTTTATGCTAGCATACAAAAAAATTAAATGAAAATGCAATAAAAATCAAATAATACATAAAATAAAACATATAAAAATACATTGTTCATAAAATACCATAAATATTAACAAGCAGATATAGCATAGTAAAAATGGCAATACACAATGTTCTAGAAATTTAGAAAAGAAAAAGAAAACGAAACAATTTTGTTCATTTAAAAATGAAATTGTACGTGAGAAAACAGATTAAAATAAAGGAACCCAGTAATTGTCCTGAGCTGATCTTTGTTCTAATTTAGGTATTCATTAATAGAATAAAAAGCATAACTAGGTACCGGGCCAAAAATCCCTACACACAACTCTAAACCTTCTCTAAAATAGGCTCGGCTCTCATATCCAATAGCAAATGATTTTAAAACTTTACTCCTTTGTAAATAAGAGAACGTAGAGCCAGGGTAGAGTGATGTATTGGAAGCCTAAGTTTATTGGCTGACGAGTCGCATTAATGCGACACACTGTTTCGAGAATATGTATATAGAGAGGAAAGAGTTGAAATACTGTTCTGAATAAAGAGGGGTCTGCAATGAGTTCCTGGAGGGGCTTTACACATAAAGCTAAGTACCCTTTTCTGGAGGATGAAGAACTGATCAAATAGGTACCTACCAGAAGCGCAAATAGCATATCGAAGATGGGATTCAACTAGTGAGAAAGTATTTTAATCTCGCAATCCGTTAACCCAATTCTAAGGAAGTCGTTCTGACAAACAGTACCTACGCACCAGAAGAAAGTTTGCCCTTCAGGGCATTAATAATGTGACTTTCAAATTTCAAGTTCGGGCCCAAAGTGCTGAAAATTCTAAGATGCCCGAAAGTGGAGTTCTTAAAACTAACAATATGTGTTTTAGAAATATTAGATCATAAAAGATGTGCTTTGCACCATACCATTACTTTTGATACCTACGCGAATGAAGACTCAGAAACATCTTGGTCTCTCCGCAGGAAAGCATAGTATTATCCGCAAAAGCCATGAAGGTGAATTCAATTTTAAGTGACTAACATCATATCATGGATATATACAGAAGTGATCCCTGGGGCACACCACAAGCTATCAGCTCTGCATCAGACGTGTATCCCTGACACAGACGCGTTGGACACGACCCGAGAGGTAAGATCTGAAGGACTCTAAAGCCCTAAAGCTATAAACGGAAAGCTTTCTCAGCGACTTACACAGGCGAATGCTTTCGACAAATCACAAAACATTCACGCGGAAGCCCCTCCGACTTTAGGCCACTAAGTATGGAGCTCTCCTGAAAATATAACGTCTGAGGTATTCTTGTTTGCCTGAAACCCGAATTGCCTGGCGCTTCTTAACCACTTGCTTTATGATTTAAGAGAGCGAGATTGGACGGAAGTTAGACGGATTGCCAGAATCACCCCCCTTGTGTATAGGAATAATCTGAGCCGACTTTAGGAAATCCGGAAAATGACCCAATTCGAGAATATAGTTTATCAATTTTGCGAGAGCCATAAAATGGCTGCATGTGGCAGTTCTTGGAAAATTTGCGAAGATCTCCTGAGGAAGATTTGCTTTTTTTTTGAATATCAAAAAAGAATTGCTTTTATTCTCTTGCGGGTCTGTTGATGGAGAAAGGAAAAAAGGGAAACGCGAGCAGAAATGTCAGAAGGTCAACGCAGATGAGCTGATGTCCCTCGTGTATTTGAATAAATAATGACGTGACAACCAGAATATATTAAAATTCCTACTTGTACCAAAAAAAGTTAGGTGGGTACTTTATTATACCCAGAGTTTCGAGAATACCTACCTAAATGGTGGAAAAAAAAGTTAAATTGGAATTATTCTAAAAAAAAAATTACCTTGAGCATGAGCTTGAGCTTGATTTAGGCCACCCGCATATCCAGGGCTATTTCCATATCCAGGAAGACCCCCGTATTGTGATTGTGGTCCAGGATGATCATAACCACCCCCTCCACCTTCGTATCCGCCATACTCACCACCATAACCAAATCCTAGTGGCGGATGCCTTTTAAAAAAATGGTGATGAGGATCGGCGGTTCTAGGCAATCTTCTCAAATCTAGACATGCAAAAAGATCAGAAATAAACTTGAGTAACAAAAAAAAAAAATGAATGATTTATCCTAACTCCATGGAAGATGGAGTTGAACAACCACAGAAGCAGATATTGTATTTATATCAAATATCCATTTAATAACAATAAACGATACATTGATGTTCACGGGGATTATTCAAAAGACAAATTATATAGTACAGGTAGAGTGCTGTGTGCGAACGATCATGGAGTGCCACCCGAAAAGCGAAAAGGAATCCTAATCGAAAACTGAAATTGAATATATTTTTTTTCATTCATGTTTCATCAATTTATTTTTCAATGATTAGTAACGACCCGAGTAAGGAAACCTAGGAAAATAATACTATAGAAAAATTTGCGCCTCTTAAAACTATGTAATACATAGGTAATGAAGAAAAAATAAAAAGTATAGAATATATTATATGATCAAATTAGAAAAAAAACACCATTCCAAGTAGGTATTATCTGATCATGTATTCTATCAAAAATAATTTTAGAAAGGGTTAAGTAATTAGAATGTGAATTGAGGACAAAATGATGGGAAAAATATTAGGTCTGTTTCTGCAGAAATCACAAACCAGTCAGAGTGAATTTCATTGGTTGAAACTAGCTTTTTGACTGTTTCTGACTGTTTTCAACCAATGAAATTCACTCTGACTGGTTTGTGATTTCTGCAGAAACAGATCTATTATTTTCATACCATCTTTTATATAAAAATTTTAGTACATCCAATAATAATCACAAACACATATTACTTACCTCGATTAACATTTATTCCTGATGGAAGCGCAAAAATTTGCGCAACAAATCCAACTAAAATCAAATATTTTAAACTCATTTTAAACAAAACAAATAACTGTTACGACTTGAGAATTCGAAAAAATAAGGCTTGATATAATACGACTTTTAACTAAATATATACCTACCGCCAATCCCCACTATTAAAACTGATCTTGTTGTTCTTGAATAATTTTCAAGACGCATCCGAAGGTTTTTTTGATCTTAATTCGCTGGAAATAATACATATTAGTTTTGGACGTATTTCCCATATTTTCAGTAGGTATTTAACCTTTCACGCAAATCATAAAATTCATGTGATGAGCTGTAGATATTTCATTTAAAAATATTTGTTTATCACTTTAAATCGTCGCGCTTCACCTAATATTCAACCTTCAATTAGTTTATTCTCAATTATTAAGTATGGGTTTTGATGTCTATTTTCATTTCCTGAATTTTGGGACGTTCCACCGTGTGAATGGGTTTTTTGCATTCACGAATTTTGGAAGAAAGCTACGGGTAATTCAAAATTTTTACTATTCAGGAAATGGAAATTCCAATAAAATTTTTAATTTTTAGGTTCATATCCAGAAATTGAAAAATTCAATTACTAAAAGAGATGGGGTGATTAGTGAAGTTTTTTTTGTTGTACTTAAAATAGCTATAACTATGTAATTCTTTTTTTTTTTTTGAAGAAATAATACCTATAGCTTATTGTTTTTAGTACATAGGTTGTTATAATAATTTATAATATCCTAACTTTGTTTACTTAGGACACTTAGCATTACTTTTATGAAATGTTCTTTCTGTTTCTGTATTCCATAAAATGGGATAATTTTCCACGGGTTATATCGTCAGACAAATCCTATATATTAGGTCACTCATTTCCCCGTCTAGGTCTGAAAAACCAGGGGCAGAGTAAATGATCATTCTGATCCGTGCGATCGGTGCGGGTGCGGTATGCCTGAGTTGGTTTTCTAGGCTATTTTTCGCGACATAATTTCTGCAAAGGTTATGTTCGATTAGGTTGAGTAATTTGAGGATTACCCAATGACATTTGGATTATCCAACATAATCGAACATAATCTTTGGAAAAATTTTGTCGCGAAAAAGAGCTTACTGTTGTAATGATTTAATGATTACAAAGAAAATATAGGCATGAACACCTATGCTTGTTTGTTGGTTTGAGAAAAAGAGCCTAGAGCCAAAAAAGTTCAAAAACAATTAATGGTCTATGGATCAGTAACTTGCAGTAACTCACAATTGCAAGATTCGCCACAATGACAAAGACAATGGATGTTAATGGCGATTTGCTCAAAATAAGGGACTGGCCCGATGCAAATATATATCTCTTAAATGTTAATATTTAAGTGTTCTTTCGATGGTGTTACTGTTAAAGATTAGTGTCCAAATAATAAATTGTCTAAACGCTAATAAAATTTTAGGAATATTTATCCATTACCTAAATTCGAGCCTCATTTTGATTTATTTGAGTAAAAAACTGGCTCGAATTGTTATGCGCGATTGAAATTATTTCTAATAATTTGGAATTTTAATTTGCAAGGGGCGCTTATTTTTCGCTGAATCCTATTTAAGATTTATGAAATAAGTTTCTGGGGAAATTTCTCACAATAGTTAATGAATAGGTAGGTTCTTTGTTTTCTAGAGAGCTATAAGATATATTTATGCAGAAATAATTTTAGGGATTCCTGTCAGCCACTGTTTATTATTAATAGAATTTTGACATTGCCATATAAACTTTTTTGTTTGAAACATGCTGTTTAATAATGTTTAAAAAACATGACTGTTAGAGTAGCTATACTCTACCACTATACCTACATACTCTCAGGTTGACATTACTCTAAATAATTTGCTAGTACCTATACATAGGAAGATATTAGGTGGTTATATACTTATGCTTTCTAGAATAAATTCGTAGTGTCGAATTTAACATAACTTATAAGAATTGTAATTGGATCTGCTCATCACACTGGGTCAAGTAAGTATAGCCACCGCTCTATACCTTATCCTTTATTTATATTTTAGCTAAAAATGCAAAAGTTTAAATTCCATATTGGACTTCCAGGCCCTAATAAATAAGTCCCCCTTTTTAAACTATTATGATAAGTTGCTTCTGTTAATTATAGATATTACCTCAAAAAATATTTTGTAAAAAAAATTTAGGTATAGGTCAGAACACATGTACATACTTACCCGAAGCGCATCGATTATCAAAAAAGTATTGACCAAGACCTTACTCCCTGCTGCCTTGATTAATTAGATAAGTATAGTATATTAATTATATATAGTACATATAATATACTCGGGGAAGCGAAGAGTAAAGTCATGGTCAACACTTTCTTATGGATCGGTATAGGTTTATAGCATTGAAAATAAAACTTGATAATATGAATCTAGGACAAAATCTCTTAAATTTCAATGGTTATCATATGCAAAAATTGTTAAGAGCAATAAATAATGATTCAGAACTAGGAAGTCATTCATTTTTGCAATTCCCAAATACTAAACCTTATTAAAATGAAGGCCTGCATAATAATAGAATAAAATATCACCAAGAAATTGAAAAAAATAGAATTTGAAAATGCACCGACCATGGTGTAGGTAGGTAGGTTATGGTAGGTGTATGTACCTACCTACTCGATTCATCACAAGCGCCTCTTTGTGCTGATCGTTCGGTGAAGAGACCAGTACTTTTAAAACACTCTTTTCTTCATAAAGTTGTTACTAAAATTCCAATCTATCCGCAAAATTAGCGGTATGCATCACTAATTTTGAGGTTTATTTGAGCAAAGTATTATTCATCCAGTTCTTCCTGCTGGTTATGCAGCATAATTATTATTAATTTTTTTTTTTTGAAAGATCATGTCAGGTTAGTAAACTTAATTGAACAGAGTTGAGCCCTTCATAAATTCTATCATAGACATGCTCTTTAGAGCCCCAATATCTATTGTTCTGGAGAGGTCAAAAAGTATTTAAAATTTTAGAGGTTGACTGCGTCTAACGCTACCAGTAGGTTGTATTTTAGACGCAAAAGATAGCAAAACCAATCCAGATGAGAGCTGAAATTTTCAGTGAATCTTATCCCAGTAAAGGCCTGAAAGCCCTGGCCGTGTTTGTTTTTGTCCTCTTTTTCGTCGATTTGCTCCGAAATTTTGACAGGCATGTGAATGGATCAGACAGTTTCAATTTACAAATCACGTGCCTGTCAAAATTTTGGAGTAATGGTAGTGGGCGGGAATAAAATTATAGATACCTAGATAAGAGCTGAAATGTTCAGTAAATCTTATCCTAGTAGAGGACTACAAACCCTGGAAATTTAAGCTCATTTGGACTTAAGGTTTCTGAGAAAAAAACGCGTTAAAGAAGTGGGCGGAAATAAAATTATAGATAGAGAGCTGAAATCTGAAATTTTCAGTGAATCCTATCCTAGTGAACCCAGAAAATTTAAGCTCATTCGGACCTACAGTTTCTGAGATAAAATCGCATAGAGGAAGTGCGCCGGTAATGAACGGGCGCAGGTAGTGGGCGGAAATAAAATTATAGATCGAGAGCTGAAATTTTTAGTGAATCTTATCCTAGTAGAGGACTAGGACTACAAACCCTGAAAATTTTAGCTCATTTTGGACTTGTTGTTCCTAAGATAAGATCGTGTTACGGATTTTTTTTGGGAAATATATCTGAATGAAAAGTATTCATCCACATCTTTCAATAACCATAAAGCTATCATTTCATCTCTAGAGTACGACACTAAGGGAAATCAATCTGGGCATTGAATATGAGCACATAGCATAAAAATCATGTGCAGCATCATGCACGTGCTAAGAAGTGAAACTCCTGAAAAACTATTCCCCCCCTCATACAACTTTAGACGTCTTAGCTTATGAGTCGTGGTCAAGACGAAAGTCAACACAAAAGGGAGACGCGCTTGTGTAGTGACATCACAAGGGCATCGGCGCTTGACAATAATTTGCTCATAATCCTTGGTTTCTTTCAATCAATGGCTGTCTTTCTCCGTCTCTCTACGTTATATCTTCCTTCTCTCTCGTGTAGCGAAATGGGCCAAAACGTGACGCGTCTATCAAATACCTCTCCATTCACGCCCAAATATCAGACCGCAGGCTAAAAAATTTCACTTCAAAAATACCCAGTATTCCATATTATCCATTAATCTTGTCCAATAATTGAATTTTTGCACTTCTGTGTTGTAATCGCACCATTTCTTTTGAAGTGAAACTTCATAGGCGTTGGTCTGATATTTGGGGGAGAATTAGGAGTGATTTGAAAGGCGCGTCACGTAACGTACCGTCACGTTTTGGCAAATTTCGTTACACGCCGAGAGGCGAGAGAGAAAAAGATATTGGAAACGTAGGGAGACGGAGAAAGACAGCCAATGACAATAACAGCCAAAGAACGATTGACACAAACCAAGGGTTATGAGCAAAGAGGATTGCCTATTATTGTCAAGCGCCTTGGGACGTCACTACAGCGTCTCCTTTTTGTGTGGCCTTTCGTGTTTACCCCGACTCATACGCTAAGTCTAAAAGTTGTATGATGGAGGGAATAGTTTTTAAGAAGTTCCATTTGTTAATACGTGTACGATGCTACACATGATTTTTTTTTAAATTCATGTACCTATGCAAATTATTTTCGTTGGCTAAAAATACTAAATCTTGATTTGATTTGGACTTATACCTACCTATCTAATAAGTATGTAGGTATTTCTCAGCAGACTGAAACGTGACGTAAATATACTTGTATTTAATTATCTAGTCAACAAATAACAAAAATAACAGAATTACTAGAAAATGGTAATTCCAATAACCCAGACTCCGAACCTGATTTTTCTCGACAAATAATCATTTGCCTATGGTGGCATTGACTTATCCTGTTTGTTTACAATTTTTTTTTTTTAGTTGTCTAGTCATCATTTGTATTTAAAAAAATAATGATCTAAGAGCAAATTAATTTTTAGTACCCAACCTACCTGAAATTATTTTAAACAAAATTGGCGATGATAATAATACTTTTAATTAGAACCTGCTAATGTAACCCGTAGATATTATAATATCAGAGGTATTTTTTAACAGGCCTTT